CTGTCCTTCCTCCTTATTAGGAGGTCATGTTTGAATGTAAAAGTTTGCTCTGTACATTTGTGAATGTTTGGCTCTAGAACTATCTGAGTGATGAGGAATGTAACACCCTAGAGCGGGTGCATGTCGGTATGTATACACCTGCAAGGGTCACAAGGATTACCGCTTCTGGGCGTGGTGATCTGAGGCAAGCCAAAGGATTACTGGTCTTAATCGGGTCAATCAGCCCTGTCTGCACAGGGTTCAGCGAAAGTATGACTGCCCCACATCCAAACCCACCTTCCTTGCTGCATGTCCCACCAATAACTGCATTTCATTGACCTGAAAATGGTTCATTGTTATTTCTGCTGTGATGAGAGCCTCCTCTTATGTGTAACTGACACTGGAGCTGAGCTCGTTCTTCCCTGCAGGGTAAGGTCAGCATCCACTTACCTCATAGTGAGAGCACACTTGTGTGAATTGTATCTGAAAGGTGAAGGTTTAATTGATGTGGTGACCTTCTGTTTGTCCTTTCAATTGGTCATTTTGTTTACTCTTAGCTTAAGTGATAATATCGTCTAACATCCCGTTCTTGAAAATGTGGCTAGCGTAGACTACTGATAAAGCATTAGAAACACTATTTTGAACACCAAACAGCGACTAGACTAGACTGCAGGTTTAATTAGTTGACAAAATGCTTCATCATAACATCTGTGTGCTTTGAAAGCTCTATTGATCATCTCTGGCTATACATCGTGAGTGGCTCCTCACTGGCTCAAGGGGCACATAACACATGAGTTACATAACAAGATGGAAACTGAAGTGAAGAACACATCAGGCCCCAGATTAAGGCGGAGTTTGGGTGTACTGGAGTTATTCAACATTTGGAGTACCAACACAAAATTAGCGGGCCATCGCGTCACTGTTTTATAATTACATTAGCTCTGGTATGTCTGAGAGCGTCTCCTGAATGAGGCCTTTTCTTTGTTTCTGTCTCCCTGCAGAGGCCTTGGACACATTTCCTGCACACTGGATAATCAATTTGCTGCTCCTTTGCTCTCATCCTATCCTTGACAACCCTCTCTGCATGGTGAAAAGGGGAAAGAGCGAGAAAGAGACCGAGTTCTTGCCCCCTACCGCCATCTTTCTCTGTACTGTTGACACATGCACACAGGCGGGCACATATGCCCTTGAGCCAGTCACAACAATAAGGGGAGTGTCATGGCATAACGCACACATCTGCCAAACACATACAAGCTGACCACGCAACATCCCATTTCCGTCAGGCAGCCTTCAGCCCAATTTAAATGCAAGCAAAGACCAGTGAAAACATTAGAGGTACACCCATACTGCACACACACACACTGACTGGCTAGTACTACATCACAGCTTATCATACACAGGCAAAAACATAACATATAGACCAGAGATTTTTTTTAAGGGAATTTCCAGTAGCATGGATTTTAGAAGTTTCTCTAGATGCTGTTGATTCACCACGTCAAACACCAACTGTTTCATAGCCACCTTCCACGCCTTCTGGAAAGGCTACGTTGTTGGGTTTTTGATACCCAAAGCCGTTTGGGTATCAAACAACTTGGGTAAACTTGGGATGAGTCATGTTTAGATTTTTGTTTTTCAATCATGCAAAATTAGACATTTAAACAGATGGACGCTGAACATATCACTTAGAAAGAAAACACTAGGTTGACAAATAAAAACTCCTTGGTAAATGTAACACTCATGTGACTAATTCTATCTATTTATCCTGTTACTGTTAAAAACATACCATAAGAATCTTGATTATTAAAATACTGTTCAAATGGCAATGCTGTGTCTATTTCATTTGGTTAGAGTAAAAATGCACAATGGCTTTTAGAAAGTCTGGGGGAATACAACAACTACAACAACAAAAAAAAGGCAGATTTTTTTTAAAACTTCGAGCCAAATGATCTCAGTATGATCCTGTGCGTGTCTGAGCCATCAGGTAAAATTTGGCCTCTCGGCATCCAAATAAGACAGCGCATTCTCAGCATACCATCTGCAATGAAGTCCTGACGAAGGGAGAGTATGGCCGCCTGCCAGCCTCCCTTTCTGCTCTGCAATCTGCCCATGTGAAAGGAGGCAGAGTAGGCAGTACCGCAGCCTACTCCTCTCCCTCACACACACTCACTGACTAACCCCCCTAAAAAACGCTGCATATTCCACTGCAGCTCTGCTACAAACCACGAGTCACCCTCCAGCTCCTTCGGGTGACATTGGCATAATGAAAACCCAAGGATATAGAGTAAAACTACTAGGGATTTGACACAAAGCTTCTCTTTGGTAGAGTGTGAGAGATAAAGGACAAGTGAGCCATAACTGGTAGGGACACTTGATCTTATGGAAGATTCATATAAGCTTAGTCTAATGAGGGTGATATAAGACTGACAGACAAAACTCGAGAGCCTGCTGGTAGAGCATGTTTCTGTTTCCACATGCTGTCTCGTTACTGCGGGTTAATAAATGCTTCCACGCTAATGTCGTGGAGCTTGTGCTCAGCTGGAATGAAGCACACACAACAGAGTCATGAGTAAGGAGGCAGCTAGCACTTCACAGTAACAGATGACTCACAAGTAAGCAGGTTGAATCACATGACTGCAAACCACGTTCAGGTTTTCTCTTCTTGCTCTGCTATTGCTTATCACATAACACTGTCGACAAGCATGCTTTACAGTAAATAAGGGCACTATCACATAATCAAAGCTGATGTGCCTCGCTTAAAACTAAATCTTAGATGGTCTTAACATCCTTCCCTATGCCTCAATCACGGATTAGTGCAACATGAGAAAAGTTAGAAATATGTATATTTTTACTTAACCTGTCAGACTTTGAATAGAATAGAATAAAATAATCCTTTAATTGTCCCACAAGCGGAAATTTGGTTGTAACAGCAGCCAGAAAGACACATATACACATTGCATCCCTATCTCAATCACTGTGGTTCAAATAGGGATGCAAATCTTGTAAATAATTAACTGCCAATCGTGTTTTATATGCATCAAACAACCTCTTCACAAATTGTTTGTGTACACTCAAGAGATAACGCAACCATAAACTATAAAGCAGCACACACATCCATTAAAGAAAAACAGTGGCCGTGTGATAAAGCCTAGCTGAACTGGGGGTGCTGGCAGGCCACGCTGTGGGACGACCCCTGGGTCTCCCAGCGTGAACCAACTAAGCGTTTCTCACACAGAATCTCCTCTGGCATGCACACCCCTCCAGAGGCGGAGGAATTTTACTCTGTAAGCCTTTTATTCTCTTTCAGGCTGCTCGTCCCCAACCGTCCACTATTCAGTTTGCTCATTCTACTGTTCTCTGCTAAGACGCCTGAAGGAAGAACATGCAGGAGCATGCATGATACACCAAAGTGTTCCTGCAGACTGGACCTGCACAAAATCAAGATGCTTTTTTCCCCTCCAGTTTGTGTTGGTGGTCTTGCATGCATGCCAATAGGCCACTTACTTGTAGTGTTGCCTTGCATCTGAATGATACATTTTGACTCCTTGCTGATCTCCCTCGAGTTGAAGGGTCGAACTCGAACAGCGACTTTCACAGAAGCCCCAGACATGTTTGCAGTTTAAGTCCGTCTCCCTGTAAGATCCCTTGTGTATATCCCTCCTAAAGGAAACAGAAAAACAAGTGTGCATCTCCTCAGTTAAAACAATAAGTGATGCAGTGAAGCCAGACAATGTTTGCTTCCTTCTTTAAAAATAAAACAAAAGTGATGTAGTGAAAAGAAGCAGAGCCTGTTTTCACTAAATGTAAATCAAACACAATGAAAGTCCACCCCCTCCCAATTTTCAGTCATAACAGCCTACAACAAATATGGCCGACCAAACCCGATGAAGCCTTTAATATTTTGTAAACAGCAGCCGATCATACATTTAGCAAATCAAACGGAGGATGTAAACCTTTATATTTATATCATAAACCCACAGTTTACGTGAAATGCGCTTTAGCCGAAAACAAAATACGAAGATCACAAATCACGATTGTTGCATGCATAAAATAACGTGGCGTTAAAATACCACACAACTTTCCATCGTTTTTACAGTCCATTTAGGCTACACAACCCGCACCCGGTGACTACACAGCCTAAATATCCTATGTTTTTCCATGTACTTGCAGTCAGCCATACTCGCCGAAGCATACGCCCATGAAATCCTATCTCCCCTATTTGGCGTGAGCTACAGCGGGACAGCTAACCAAGGGCCTGTCTGTTGCATCTGACACTGTTCATTTTGTGCAGACGAAGAGCTTAAATTTCCCCCTTTTTTAAAAAAAAAAAAAAAATCACATTCGCTGATATTAGGAAGTAGGCTAATCCTCCGCCGCTGCATGTTGGGGAATAGTGCAAGGGACGAGTTACATGCTTATTTTAGCAGCCCAGACTGGATACATTGTTCACATTTACCCTATCCGGCAGGGTTAAAGGTGTTTTGACGTTAAATCCTACCAGAGGCGAAGCTTTCAACAGTAGCTATTATATTTTCTATTTTAAGCTAGCTTTAACCCGTTAAATGTTATTGGCTCCGACTTCAATATTTACGACCTACAGTCTAATGGAAACAGCTATCCAACTATAATAAACTAAACCTATAAACCTAAATTATTCTATATACTGTAACAATTAAGTACCTATATATGTTTAATTCTTTTATATTATCGCAACCATGGCCACGTAGAGGTCCACTGACCACCGGACGTGTATTAGTTAACACAGACAACTGCTCCCTATCCATCGTTGAAACTAAACTGTAATAACAACCCAGTGCACAACAGTCCCCCAAAATATAAATATATTATTTTAAAAAATATATACTTACGCTTGGAGACTCTTGCAAAACACGAAACCAAAACCACCGGACAGTGGCGAGAACTAACGCTAGCTAGCAGGCGTCAAAATGTGTTGTTTCTATCAGAATCTGTGCGCAAGGAAACTGCTATAAAGTCCATTTCCGTGAAAAACACCCATTATAGCGGTATCCTCCGGTGGAAGGATTTGTATTTGGAAACGGCCACTTCGTTGGCTACTTTACTCTCCCTTACAGATGAACGGCGGACGCCTATCTGCACACTAGCGAGAAGAAGAATTGGTAGATTGTCTTGATTTACCGAAGAGATTACGTCAACTCCCTCTCAGCGCGCTCACGGACAGGCTGGCGGGCCAATGAGCAAACAGAGAGCGGCGACTAATGCGGCGAAGAGCCTATGGCGTGACTCGGGGTCGCGAAGGGGGAGGGAATAGGTGGGGTGTCGCTCCCTTTTTTTCGCCCGTGACGCCACACTGCAGGATTTCTCATTACCGCTACCCGCAGCACCGTGGGTTACCGCAAAGATCGCCGCCTAGCGACGTAACTTTTCCGTGCATCACGAATTTATAAACCAAATTATTTATATTTTTGCTAATATAAATTGCCTTAAAGCAGGCACAAGAGATGTCACTGACCATAAAACAAAATAAAATGAGCAAATGCATTTCCTGCTGTGTTTGAATATAATCAGTTCAATTACATTTTACTCATTTAGTGCCAAATGACTTCACTTTTTTATTGTAAAGACCATACAATAATAGAGAGTAAACCTCAACAATCAGACAACCCCTTTGAGCAAGCACATGGCGACAAGGGGAAGGAAAAACGTCCTTTTAACAGGAGGGAACCTCTGGCAGAATCATTAAGAGGCAGGTTTGATTCAAAGCAATTCACTTTCCTGTGATATTTTTGCAGTTGCAGTTTCTTTTTGGAATGAACTTGGAGTTAAAAGTTTAACAGGTGTCCTTGCCAGTAAATACTGGACTGTCGCCAAGTTTAATTGAGAACAATGACTAGTCTATTCACATTCCAAAAAAAGATTGCAACTTTTTTGTTCCCTAGAACTGGAAGTTACCTTTGCTGACACAAAATGAAAACAGGTTTGCATTATATTTGCCACATCCAGCTTTTTTTTCGCCATTTATGTAGTTGTTTTTCTCTCTCTGTTCCA